ACAAATTCGCCCATAAATTCAGCCATATTGATTTTTTGTACAGCGATCAGAACTATAAGCTCTCTAAACTGCGATTTCTGATTTACTAGTTCAGATTTCCAAAAGGGCTGCCCAGCAGTTAACCATTCTTCTTTGTATAGCTATGCACTCGTATATATCAGATACGTATACCTGTGCTATCACTATTAATTTGACTGTGATGCAGCAATGCCTACAAGAGGCATTGAGGATTTTCACTTGAGAATTATATTTAAGATGCATACCCGGAAATTTGAGGAATACTGCTTGAAGGCAAGCTAGGCCGAGGTTGAGGGTGAGGTTGAACACAGAACTAAGGTTTACTAGCCATCTAAAAACATCAATAAAAGGTCTTTCTTATTTACAAAATTACTACTAATCTATCTGTTCTTTTGTTAATTTCTTCCTCAGTGCTTTAAATTATCATTGGCTATCTTTTCAACTACTTATTTCTTTTATTTTTGCTTCATCTAAACCGGTTTGTTTTTGCTAATTCTAGTTCTCCTTTCATAATTTGACCCATGAACTGAAATAGCGATAAATGAAGCAACATTAACCGGGATCTTTGTAAGATGTATTTGTAAAAATCCTATAATTTTATATACATCCTTTATTAAACTTAAAATAAACTGAAGTATAAGTATCTCGTGCCGCATTTATTGTTACTCTTATTATTATGTTATCTTATCTGATAACTCAATAGCAATAATAATTCGTCAAGCTGGTTAAAGAACAGTTCCAAGTATATTGGGTCTTCCAAATACCATTACACTGATTGATATTCTTCAAATTTCTTTTTCAAATCATTTCTATTTCTCTTTGTTGTTATGGGTTTATTTAGCATACACCTGCTCGTCTTCCAGCATCAGTATTAATAATTCAAAGTGAGTGCCTTACAGCTTGATCACCGCCAGGGTCGACCCCTCGACACCGATAGTTATGCAAGCCCATTAGTGCAAACTGGTCTCGTACTACGAGATAGATTACTCGAGAGCTCAAGAATCCACAGAGATCTCGGACGCGCGTGTTCTGTCATACTAAATGATCTTACCGGGTGATAGGCGAACAGAATATGTAATAGCAGGCAATTTTAAAAATATACATAGTTTTTGGATATCGTTTATGTAGATATGAATGAAATACAGGACGTATGGTTCATACCTTGTTTCTTCTTTCCTATAAAGAACAAATTATTCTGTCTACCAGAAGGTCAGGATAAACAAATCATTGTTTTGAATTGTGCACAAGGAAGAAGGAAGGTTCCTAAGTCATCAAGAAGGCTTCCAGGTCTTTCAGAAGGTTTTTAGGTCTATCAGAAGGTTTTTAAGTCTTTCAGAAGGTTTGTAAGTCTTTCAGAAGCTTTTTAAGTCTTTCAGAATATTTTTAAGTCTTTCAGAAGATTTTTAAGTCTTTCAGAAAATTTTTAAGTCTTTCAGAAAATTTTTAGGTCTTCCAGGAGATTTTTAAGGCCTTTCAGAAGATTTTGAAGTCTTTCTATATACAATACTATAATCGAGAAAGAATTAACAACATTAAATTGATAACATTATTTATATATAACCGAATTTTATCTAGATAAGATAATCTTATTAAATTCAAAATACTATCGAAAAACATGGAAATCCCAAATTATTATTAAAATATAAATAATTTTATATGTAAATTTATATACAAATGTTTGTAATTAGATAATAGCAGAAATGCAAGAATTAAATCTTTATAATTTATTTGAATATTTTTACAAATAATCCCTGTAGTAATACATTGCTGTAACTTTGCTAGTCAAAAATGTTTTCAGAGAAAAAGCGGATATGCTTATATATTCAAAATTCTGATCCTAAGTTATATTAGTTTAGTTTAAAATAAAAATACAATTTTAATTTATAGTACATTGATGCTAATAAGCTTTTGCCTGACGCTAATAAGGTATAAACATGTTTTCAATAATTAAATAAATAAATATTAGTTTTTGAACCCTGCAAATAGATATAGTTCTAGTTTCCACATTCAATCCCTTGTATGAGTGGAAAGTGAAAATCAAATAATATCTAACATTGATAGATAATCAATGTATGTTATAACTGCATATTCCCTATTTAATATGAATCAAATCTGGTAACAAAAAATATTGCTTCTGATTTATCTGAAGATAAATCAATTTTCAAGCACAAAAGTGTCAAAGCTCAACGTATAACTACTTTTTAATCTACTACTTATAATTAAAATCTCAATGATACAGTAAATTTAATCGTACATCATTTACAGAACAAAATCATATAATTGTAGTCAAATATTATCTCACGTATAATTTTGCAAATTCATTAACCTAGAACTACTGCTACTATAAATAATGATTTTTTTTAATAAAAAGTTATTAATCAAATCAACAAAAAATAACACTTCCAACAATAAAGCACACACGATCTGTCATATCAATTCGACGGATGTTATGTGACAGGAATTGCCAATTTAGGAAATCTGACTAAATTATAACGGAACATTTAAATTTACGGTTTTATATTGCGCTTTTTTGTCATCATCTTGAAGAGGCACGCAATATAGATAAATTGTTTATTCGCAGTATATGGTTTCTTCTACGCGAATACGATTTCTGATCCAATGAGAAATCAGCAAGATAAATTAAAATTAAATAAATAAATTAGAATTGAATAAATCCACATTAAAAAAATGTACCAGTCGAACTCAAAAATAAAACCCAATAACTCCCAATAAAGATTTTTTAGTTATGATGATAAATTTATAGTCGAGTATTTTAACTCATTGATTTGAGAAAAATCGGTGATCAAAGATTCTATGACTCTATTACTGTATAATGTATGTCCAATGTTTCTCTTATGACTATAACTGCTTACATAAATTTGCAAAACATACATGTGGCGTTTAAAGGTAAATGTATTTGATTATCCAAAAAAGATTAAAATATATTAATCTATACTTTACTAAATTCCTATTCGATTTGGTACTCGTCCGAAAACGTCTTTATCCTCAAGTTCAAGTGTGGGATACGTGGGCGTTTAATATATGTATATTTATTATGTTAATTGCGTCGACAGTTTGACAGAATTGAAATGTATCTTTTTATTAACCGTTTTGTACATGGCCTGAGTTACAAAAGTGGTCTATATACCATTTTGAGATTTTTTCACGACTTAAGAATAACTGTAAGCTCTAAAAAGCAGATTGCACGTTGCTCTGCGTCAAACAGCTGTTCATCTTCACAAATCTAAATACGGAGTGAAGATAAATCATAGTTTTTTGTTATAACATTTCAATATTATCTCAAATAAAAATAATGCACTTAAAATTGATTATGGAAATTGATTTGATTATTAACTTCCCGAAGGAGAAGTTTATGTTTTCATCATAAAATCCGATTCGCTAAATTTAATGTTTTCTCGACGTTTCAAGCCATTCTGAATCGAATGAGACCAAATTTGGAAAAAGTATGTGTGTATGTGTGTGTGTGTGTGCGTGTATGTGAACAGATTTTTTGCCGAAAATCGACGTTTTCTCGAAAACGGATGGACCGATTCCAAAAATTTGAAAGACATTCGATGTATCTCGATGAGGACTATCGTTTGTTAGTGACGATCGGCCGAGACGTTTTTTTATAAATAGCAAAAAAGTGAAAAATTTTTCGTCCACGTTTTAGCCCGCAATTCTGAATCGATTTTGAAAATTCAAAAACCGTTCGAAAGATATTGGTTGGGAATCGTGCTGATTAGCTTTTGGTGAAGATCGGCCGGGCCGTTTTCTTGTAATAAAGTGTTAAAAAAAAATTTTTCCACTATTTTCATTTTTTTTTGACGGTAGATACCATAGTCTTCTAGATCATACTAAAATATTACGGTCCTACGATAACTAGTTTAACTTTTAACATTAGTCAAAGTTTGCAAAAATTGGTATCGTTTTTTTGGCATTTGTCAAAATTAGACCTTTCATCGACATTTTCTCAAAAACGCCTGAACCGATTTCAGAAATTTAAATGCCATTTTATGTATCTCGATGAGGACTATCATTTATCAGTTTCGTGCGACGATCTGCCAAGCCGTTTCTTTATAATTTAAAAAAAGTGGTAAAGTTTTCGGCCACATTTAAGCTCATTCTACCGAATCGATTTTAAAAAATCAAAAACTGTCCGAAAGATATCAGTTGGGAATGATACTGATTAGTTTTAGTTGAAAATTTACCGAGCCGTTTTCTTGTGATTAACTCATGAAAAAAAAATTTAAGCCGATTTTTATGGAACTTTTTTTAGCGATATATATCATAGTCTTATAGGACTTACTGCAATATTACGGCCTTACGATAAGTAGTTGAATTTTAAAAATTCATCAAAGTTTGAGAAAATGAGTAGTCTTTTGATGTTAACTAAAATGAAAATTAGACGATTTACTTGGTATAACGATAGAGTACTTGATCTTAATGAACATACTAAACCATTAAAGTCTTACGAAAACTGGTTCAATTATAAAAATTATTAATTTGTGGAAATTTGCTTTAAGGGAATACTCCGAGTTAACGTATTCGTTCGTTCATTTCAATTATGTGTAATAAATCCACTCGAAATACTTTTAATCACTCATAAATTAATCTATTTCTTATTGATTAAGTCGATTATTTACACATATCGGGAAGTTCATGTAACTTGCCTCAAGGCTAAATACCAATACCAACTAGTTTTTGTCTAAAAATATCAAATCAATTACGCGATACTACAATAATTCAAATTTATGGCATAAAATTTAATGAAATTTATTTACATGTTAATCCATTTAATTTTTCAACCGTTTGGTATAACTTTGATTCATAGATGTAAAATTCAGAATCAAATTTCAAATGTTTTACGTCCTTCTGTTACTTCACGAAACCAAGTCCATTCCAAACTCTGTAAAACTGCACCATTGTGTTCAATTGTGTGTACATATAAATTTTAAAATAACCTCATATATTTTTTTCAGCTGCTCGTCCAGGTAGCGTTTGCTACGGACACGCACATTGCAGAATGTGGGACGCTTCTAGTCGTTGTGATTTTCTCATTCCTGGTCTTTTTGGTCGTTGCCAGTGTGCCCATGGTACAAAACTAGTCGGAGACTCCTGCGCGCTTCCTGAAGAAGTAATCAACTTCCACATTGAGGTGGCCAAAGTAAATAAAACTTCCTCTGTTGCCAATTCTGGTAGAAGACACGGCAGTGAGTCTCCGAGCATTCGAAGGGTAGATGCTGAGTTGCCAAAGAGAAACCCAACGAGAACTCAGGTAGTATGATACATTAAATTGATGGAAGAGTACTAAAATAGTTCTATGTGGAATATAATGTATTGTTTTATTTCAGTCACAAAATTCACCTATACTGCAAATTAATTTCAAACGTGATACGTTTGGAGGAAATATTAACAAATTGCAATCTGGAGCCCATGGTAATCGACTACCAGTTTCCGCTTTAGTTAAAGGTAAAAATAAAATTATAAACTAGAGTATTCAAGTTATTAACGAAAATATTTAATGTTCTGTTACAAAATTAAGATACGCTAGTCCTTCCCGAGCATTGCTGCATCAAAATGAATAATAGATACATTCTAAGTAATCATATACGGATGACGTTAAAAATAAGACGTTGGGAGATGTTTCAGCTATAGAGTGAATTCCTTTATTCCCATAAAATTAATTCACAATTTTCCAATGATTAAAATATATATTTTCAATACACTTAATCAAAAAATTGGATTTTTCAAAAGGCAACCATGTGATTTATTATTTTCATTCATCCTTTAGTTTCTTCAAAATAATCATTGTTGCTTCTTTCGTGGCAGACTATATTAACCGTTGAATCTTATAATAATCTAGCCGATTCAGTAATATATTATCAAATCAATTTCCTTTGAAGTGGCACATAAATACATAACATGAATATGCATAAACATATTTAATATCTCATTACATCGTTTTACAACGTTTGCGTGAGGTTAATGATTGCTTCGATTAAGCACCAATTAAAAAATAATTAGCAATTAATCCGCAACAGTAATCCTTAAGAAAATATCAATTAATTTCTGCGAATTTAGTTTTATGTTTGTTACAAATGATCGGCGGTATAAAATATATCTAATAAGCATAGCTTTGTAAATACATAACATATCAAATTTATTGAATTCAACATTAATGACTGCGATGTAGGTATTAATACATTCTAATAATATTTTTATAGTCATTTGTTTGACTTAATTAATGTTCGGTATAACAGAAAGATACTTTAATTAGCATAATTGATTATCATGTAGACCGCTGGATAATGAAATCAAAGTTTTAACGTCTTTATTATTCCCAGAGTTTTAATTAATCAATCGCTTCATCTCTAACTGTTAATTGAGCGGTCTACGAAACATTAATCTTGATAAACACAATCTTCACTTTATATATTGTAAAAGACTATTCAGATTAACGATAATATCATAATAATGCATGACTACCGAATAAATTTTGTTTTTTTTTTTAGATTTTTTCGTTTCAGATTAGACCTAGGGATTGCCTTTCGGCCCGCAATGGGTTGTTGATTCAACTTTAAATAACATATTTAAATTTTCCCAAATTCAGAAAACCGGATAATGGAGCTTACAGATAATATCACACGAAAATTTCACACAAAATTAAAAACCAAAGTGAAGTTTATCGTATACATTGTTCGGGTTGTCATCTGTAATAAAACAAACGTAGTTTGTAAGATATTCATCACAACAGCTCATAGAACCCATAAGTTCTGATCGCTGTTCAAATAAAATTAACACTTTCGACTCGGGAGTCGGACTGCCAGTCGGTACGCTGCGCTCGGAATATTATAGTGCTATAGTTATCTCTCAACTCGGAATTTTTTTTGTATCGGATTTTTTCAAAATGTGGTTATATTGCTTTTAAATATAGTTATTATGATAATCAAATAGAAAATTTTAAAAATTAAAAAAAATTGCACTCAAAACCATGCTATATTGTTTAAAAAATCATTTCTTCACAGATCTTTATTAGAATTATGGGGATCATGAGCTAATAAATTAATTTTGTTATATATTTATTTATAAAATTAATAAATCAATCAATAAATGAATGTAATAGTAAATTAATTTTTAAAAAATAAAAAAAAACAAATGTAAGGCATCCGAGCGCAACGGTAAAATCACTTTGCCGCCGGAGCGGCGGCATCCGAGTCGAAAGGGTTAAAGGAAAAAAATCGTATACATAAAGGTGTTTTGCGTTTTGATTCATTGCCATAAAAGAACCAAAGTTCAAAAATTCGCTGAAGTGAAGTCGATTAGAAGTTTATCGCGTTTGTTAGATTTTATGCGCCCAATCTATTCTCATCTGATATATGTACATCGCAATGTACTAATCGTAAGAACCGGCATAACTGATTTTACAATATATATTCCAAGTGATATTTACTGGTTTGTCTTTGTATGTTGTTCCAATAAACATTAACTAACGGCTATTACTAGTAGCAGTTTGATACTGTCGATATCTAAGCGGGATGTTCAATTAGCGTTGTAATTTATAATCAAATATTATCGATATCGTATTTGTTATCGTTTTATGGCCGATATAAAATATTTACAAAAGTGGGTTTCAAACCTTATGATATTATCTAAACACATATTGACGTAGTAACTTAGTAAGCAATGTTGTTGAGCTGGAAAGCTTCAAAACTTTGTTCCGGCCGAAACATGTTCCGGAACTAAAGATGATTTCTGATAACGAGAATTGGCTGACGTATTGAGATTTTTCTTTAAATATTGAATATTTCGATCTTATTTTTGACGATATTTTACATGTATTATTATAAACAAGTGCTCAAACCAAATTAAAATATCAAAAACCGAAAAAAATGGTTTGTTTTTCTAAATTATAAATCTGAGCCTCAAACGCGTTCTGGTACCACTGAAACAGCACCACTGAATATAGATCAATTAGTCCAAGCAATCTAATTGTCCAATATTAAACCAAATTATTAAATTTCATTTATCATTATTAATGTAATAACAATTTTGGAACTAACCAACCCGCAAGGTGAGTTATCGAAAACGAAATTGAGAAACTTTAGGTATATAAATCTATACATATCAGAATCAGCTGGATCCTGCGAAAAATCTTCGATTCGTATTGACAATAGGCTGGAATTTTTGGTTTCTGAGAGACAAAAGTCAAACCGTTTTAAAGCTACAGAAACAAACTAATAACAGATATCTGTTAATATTATGGTAATTTATAAACTCAAATTATATAATTTGAAGCCTAAAATCGGTATCAAATAGTGAGAATATATGTTTTTTTGCAGAGTTTTTGATTGATTACATTTTAAAATTATAAGAATTATACATTTGTATATATTTATTTTTACTAATTTAATATTAGCAACTGCTATTAGTAACGGGAAATTCAAGTAATTTTCTTTGAAACGTAATGTCATTTATCTTCAATTACAATTATTTTTTAATTTATTGTTTATTAGGATCGACAAAGAAGCCGGCAACGATAGGAACGCCTTGCTTGTCTGATGTGCAGTGCAAAGCCGCAGATCCCAATTCACGTTGCATTCTCGGAATTTGCGATTGTGCTATTGTGGCACCAAATGCCACCAGCCCCAACTGTGGAGCCAAATACAATGGTTGCGCACCCACTACATTCCAGGTAATCACTCAAGGAATTCTGAAATTTTTTTTGGAACTATGTTCGGATTTTTGTAAAATTTCACTTCTATCTATCAAGAGCCATAAGAAAGATTTTAAGTGATTTTCCAGTAAAAATCCCGCACATTTTGATATTAATATAATTGCTATAAGCTAAGAGGTTATCATTTAACATATCATTTCTGAATCTTTCGATAATGAGTGATTCTATCGTATTATAAACATTGCTAGGATTCTTCTTAGAACATTATAATTAGTCTGATATAAGCAGGATTGCTTAGACGCAATAATGAATTCCGGAAGCCAGTTGCTTGCAATATATAAATTTACAATTTCATTCATTTACTACTTTTTTCAGTGCCGAACTGTAGGACGATGCATTAGCTATTTCTTCGTATGCGATGGTAGGAAAGACTGCCCTGACGGGAGCGATGAATTCGGATGTGATGGTCTATCTCGTCCTGGTTCTTATGACAGCATTGAGCAAATCACTGAATGTCCAGTACCATCATTCCGATGCGAAGTATCAGGACGATGTGTGTCACTATCGGCTCGTTGCGACGGATCACCGCAGTGTCCTCATGGAGAGGATGAAGCAGGCTGTCGTGTCGGCAAAGGACAAACGTAAATGAATCAATATTTTACCAATGAAGTAACAATAAAGATTCTTTTATAAATTATGATAATGTACAGATGTCCAGCTCACACTTTTGCTTGTGGGGATGGTCAATGTCTCCCCGAGTACGAATTCTGCAATTCTGTGATCGGATGTTCGGATGGGAGCGACGAAGCTCCACAGATTTGCAGGCATGGGCATGCACAATTATCTAGAGGTGCTCGAAACGGGCGACGAGGAACTTATAAATATAGGTAAAATAGTAAAAAGATAAATAATCTTTTGTTTATTAACTTCCCGAAGGAGATGTTTTCATCAAAAAATCCGATTCGCTAATTTTATGTTTTCTCGACGTTTCAAGCCATTCTGAATCGAATGAGACCAAATTTGAAAAAAGTATGTGTCTGTGTGTGTGTGTGCGTGCACAGATTTTTTGTCGTAAATCGACGTTTTCTCAAAAACGGTTCGACCGATTTCAAAAATTTAAAAGCTATTCGATGTATCTCAATGAGGGGACTAGCGTTTCTTAGTTTTGTGCAACGATCATCCAAGCTGTTTCTTTATAAATAGCAGAACAACGATTTTTCGTCCACGTTTTAGCCCGCAATTCTGAATCGATTCTGAATATTTAAAAACCGTTCGAAAGATATTGCTTGGGAATCATGCTGATTAGTTTTTGGTAAATATCGGCCGGACCGTTTTCTTGTAATGAAATTTAAAAAAAAAAATTCGACAATTTTTATGATTTTTTTTGACGGTAGATATCATAGTCTTCTAGATCATACTAAAATATTACGATCCTACGACAAGTCGTTTAGCTTTAAAAATTTGTCAAAGTTTGCAAAAATTGGTATCGTTTTTTTTGGCATTTATCAAAATCAGACTTTTCATCGACGTTTGCTCAAAAACGTCTGAACCGATTTCAGAAATTTAAAAGGCATTCGATGTATCTCAATGAGCACTATAGTTTGTCAGTTTTGTGAGACGATCTGCCAAGCCGTTTCTTTGTAATTTGAAATAGAGTGTTAAACTTTTCGTCCACATTTAAGCTCATTCTACCGAATCGATTTTAAAAAATCAAAAACAGTTCGAAAGATATTAGTTGGGAATAATACTGATTAGTTTTAGGTGAAAAACTACCGAGCCGTTTTCTTGTAATTAACTGTTGAAAAAAAAATTAAGCCGATTTTTATGAAACTTTCTTTAGCGATGAATACCATGGTCTTATAGAACTTACTGAAATATTACGGCCTCACGACAAGTAGTTTAATTTTAAAAATTCATCAAAGTTTGAGAAAATGAGTAGTTTTTTGACGTTTGTTAAAATTAAAATTAGATGGTTTTCTTGGTATAACGATAGATTACTTGGTCTTAGTGAACATATACTAAACCATTAACATCCTACGAAAACTGGTTCAATTATAAAAATTATTGATTTGTGAAAATTTGCTTTTAGAAAATACTCCGAGTTAACGTGTTCGTTAGTTTTCAATGATGTGTAATAAATCTTCTCGGAATACTTCTATAAATTAATTTGATTATTAACTTCCCGTAGGGTAAGTTATAGTAACGCAAAAAAATCGAAAATGAAAATTTTTATATATCTTTACGAGGTCTAGCCGTTCCAAAGATACGGGGCAAAAAGTGCCGAAAACGGTAACTCAGTTTTTAAGAGAACGGAGCGTCCGATTTGAATAATTCAAAAAACATTTCACTTGTATTAACAAGATGAATAACTGATCACATTTTCATGAAGGCAGGTCTAGCGGTTTTGGAGATATGGAGGAAAAAGTGCAAAAATGAGCCATTTGGCGGTCAAAAATGATCATTAGACATATGCACATCAAATTATCAGATATTTTATAGAGATTTTAACAATAAGTATAATTTTGGTTTACATTTCTATGGGTTCCGTACCAATGTTTACGCGTTAGACGGCGACGCGGCGCTTACGCGTTATATTTTGTCCCTATGCAGTTAAAGCAGTACGATTGCTTTAAAAAAAAAGTTCAGATCTTCCACAATATGTCAAAATAAAGAAAAAAAAATTTTTTTCAAAAAAAAAAAATTAATTTTTTTTTTCAAAAAAAAGTAATTTTTTGTCGAATTTATAGTTTCTCAAAAATCTTATTTTTTCAAAGTAAATTTTTTTCAAAAATGTTAATCGTTTTTAAAAAAATAATAATTTTTGGTACGGGAAGTTCCAGCAATTTGCCTTAAGGCACGATGCCTTAATTGCCTTAAGACAGAATTCCACTTACAGCTAGTTATTGATTAAGTCGATTATTTACACATATCGGGAAGTTCATGTAACTTGCCTAAAGGCTAAATACCAATACCAACTAGTTTTTCTTTAGTTCCGATATATGTTGATATATGTATTCACGATTTTTAGTGTCAGATACCACTACTGAAAGTCAAATTGAACCTTTGTGCCCCGCCCAACCCTATGTCAATTTTATTTTATATTAAATTTTAATATGTGTCATTTTTATTTTTAATTAAAATGTATGTATTGGCTTATCTTTTAAATTACTGAAACATGTAACATATTTACATATTAAAAAGTTTTTCTTCAGTATGCTTTGTATGACGACCGGTTAGTATGACGAGATTTCGGCGTCCCTTCGATGTCATACTAAGCGGATTCTACTGTATATTAATATGTAAATTATTTACTTACCAGGTACAGATTTGCTCCATCTCCTGGAGGTCACTTGTCAGCCCTAGAAGTATGTCCTTTAAGATGCCGAAATTCGCGATGTCGGGCTGCCGCCATAGCATGTTCAGGTCGCGATGGCTGTGGCGACAACAGCGATGAGGATCGTTGCACCATTTGTCGTGAGTCATTTTTCGATAAATTCTAGAAATTTCATTTTGATACATAAATTAGATAATATGTCATCACTATATCATCGTTAAGTTTCAATTTCAATTGTGGTCTCTGAACCAACTAACATTTATTTAAAATTTATGAACATAACACACTTCCTTACTGCGTATACATTATTATTGAAATTCACATTAAATTATTTTCAATTTATTACGACATTATTACGACTTGAATATATTAATATTCTATTATGGTCTATCTAGACAATATAATAATAATGGTCTAGGTTATAAACACTAATTCAGTTAAAATTACTTTCGACAACAAAACAAACATGAGATAAGCAGCGGTTAGTCCGTAACTAAGGCATACCACATTTTTATATAAAAAAAATAAAACTACAAATTTTATGTTTTTATGTAGTGGTATTACTATAAATAAAACTAGTGGTGTATGGCATCGTGCCTCAAGGGAAATTACTGGAACTTTTCTAACCAAAAATTAAACTTTTTAAAAAATATTAAACTTTTTTTAACTTAAAAAAAAAAATAGATTTTTGAAAAATTAATTTTTTTTTTAAAAAATGACTTTCATAAAAAATGTTTTTTTTATTTTGAGATATTTTGGAAACTGATTTTTTTTTCAAAGCACTTTTACTTTACTTTTTTACTAGATCTCCGAAATTGATAGACCCGCCTTGCCGTTTAATCAGATTAATAATCTTTTTTGAATTATCACAATCGGATGCTCTGTTCTCTTAAAAACTGAGTTACCGTTTTTGGCACTTTTTGCCCCGTATCTTCGAAACGACTAGACCTGTCTCTGACAAGAACTAATTAGCACGTCTCCTTATCAATACGAATCGTTGATCCCTGTTTCTGAAATCGTCAACGAAAATTTGTATCCGCACACAGCACACACACACACACACACATACAACCATTTTTTTATAAGCTATGCCAAAATGTTCAGAAACCATTAAAACGTAAAGATTTATAAACATTATCATTTTCGATTTGTTTGCGATTACTATAACTTACCCTACGGGAAGTTAATAATTTCATTCAAAACTCATTGGCTCCTCTCTGGCTGAAATACATCATGATCATTCGAATGTATCATAATACACCAATATATTAAATTTATTAATATATAATAACTTAAGTACTTAAATATATGCATACAAATGCTAAATGTACACAAGTTAATATAACTTATATGTTGATTGCAGAATTTTTGTAACTAAAATTAATTCTTATTGTTTTAGGATGTCCTGCTTTGTAAACATCGTGAACATAATCAAAATATTGAACAAAACATAAAAATTAGGATATTTTTAAAACTTCATTTAGTCATGCATAGATTGTGCAAATTTTAGAGTGAAAGAATCTGAAAATGAAGTTATCAAGATGAAACAAAACAAGAAATCATCTTATCCAAAAATATTGAAGTATTAAAAATAAAAAAACGCACAGTTTGAACATAGATAAACAATGAAAAAAGCATTGCCTTGCATTTGGCATTACTTAAAACGAATTTTAAAAAAATCATAATCATCATTAAAAAATATAAAAAATTGCAAGTTAGAGTTTGTAATACATATTTGCGATCTGAATTCAAAATCATAAAGTATTATCATCATCGAGTAGAATATGAATCACTATATCTTAAGATTTACATTTATATTCCTTTTTCTATAAAAAATTATGAAATTGTCAATATAGATATTATAATTGTTTGAAATTGAATTTTAAATTTTTATTTCATTAATAGAATATTATTTATTTAGGAAGATTGTGTAAAGTTTTATAAGAGCTAATTTTAATGAAGAAATTTTCAACTTTGAGAAATTATTTTTACAAGTAGCTGTAGATGATAAGTTTTGATATGTCTTGTTAATTTAATTTAAAAATAGACTATGTATATCATACCAAATAAAGAAATTTATTAATTAAAATTTAACAGTTATAAATACTAATCAACATCGCTGAATATTAAAGAAACACCATAACAAATAAAGAAAGTAGCATTTATAATATTTTTTAAAATAAAGCAATTTAGTTTAATGTGCATAACAATCAAAAACACATTTTTAATCTAAAAGATTATACCTGTTTATAAAAACCTACAAAATATTTTTACATTGTTATTGTAAGGGATAGCAGATTAAAAGTGTAACAAATTAATATAAATTAAATACAAATTATAGTTTGCATCTGTGAGTGAAAAAATTCAGAACTCCATTTTTATATCTAAAATCAGAAAAGAATAATTAAGGTTTTACTTTGTCAAAATACGTGAAAATATTTTGTTGTATTTTACAAATTAAATTGCTTTATTACCTCTGGCTTCTTGCTTTATTGACTTCAAAGATGTTTCCAGTTTCCGTAAAAATTCTTCAAAAACAACAATACCTTTGTATGCACTCGTTTTCTTATAGTCTTTTATTCTAGGTTTTTGAGACACAGTGTCATTTTCTACACTAGAGTTCTTCTCATCAAATGCATTTATATCATCAAGAAGTTGACTAAATATAATAATAATAAATTATATAGAAGAATTACATAAATTATAATTGAAATATATATTCATTTACTTAATTGTAGGAACAGTAGTTGGATCGAATTTATCAACATTCCTGGGATTAAATGGGGTGCAAATTTTTCCCGTTTTTGGATGAACACAAAATGGTGCCTTCAATAAATGGCCCATGCCTTTCGTAACATTAGCATCAAGTCTAGGATACACAAAATAAACTTGAACTTCTTCAACAATATATCTCATACGTTTATATACTGGATTACCCTAAAAATATTTAAATAGTATTTTGTCATGATATATTTAAAAAAAACAGTATTATTTATTAAATTATATTATGGGTTCATTAAATTTTTTATTATTATACTACCTGAATTCTACAGCTTTCAACATATGAAACAAAAACATTCCATCTATCTAATGAGGTTTCTTTTTTACTTAATTCTAATTGCATATTCAATTTCACAGCTTCATCAGGTATTAAATTCAATAATTTATTTAATCCTTCTGGAGTTGATAGCACATCTTGTTCTTCTAGACATATTTCTTTAAACACAGGTTCTATCATTTTTAAAGCTCGCCTGCGTAACAAAATGATAATGAAGATAAAAGCAATTGTCAATCATTAATAAAAGTGACAGAATATTAATTACTTTACACTATGATGCATTTTGTCTCCAACAGTCATACGTTTAGCAGTACCTTCGGATCCGGAAATGAGAGTGAGATATTCTGCAATTGCACTTCGACCTAAAAAATATATTTATTAAATAAGATACAAATTAAGATTTTGTTTTCTTCCTTCTTTCATTGTAGTTTTCTCACAAATTAGTATATTAATTAACATTTACCTTTATTATCTAAAAGTCGAGCTTCTTTATCACAAACCCAACAATGGATACCTCTTCTTCCACTAAAAATCCACAATAAATGCTCAAATCCAAAGTCCTCTATTGTGTACAAAAATCATATCAATAACTTTAATGTTGATTTTTACTAGTACATCAAGAGATTTTACCTCTTAAAGCAGCATCAAGGATTTTGCAAGCTATGGCCATATATTTCCAACATTTAGGGCAAACACTAGCACCACTGCAACATGTTCTAACATCATCATAATCTGTTAAATCTATATCAAACACTAATTCTCTTTGAACAGGTGTTATTGTTCGCACAGAGCGATGATCTTTAGGTCTAAAATTCAGAATATGTAAAAAATTAAACTATGTTATAGATATAGCCAAGTATAAACTATAATGAATTTTTAATCAAATCAATATTTAAAAACATATAAAGAATAATTAAAGAAGTATTCACTTAATATTTAGCACAGGTCCAATATCAATCTTAACTGGATTTTTAGAATAAAGTTCCTTCTCTAATTCCTCTTGAGTTTCGAATGACAAGTAACGAATATAAACATCATCAACAAGAGTAAAAGAAAATTCCCTATGAGTAAATACTTGCCCACCATCTGTAATAAACAACGCCGGTTATATAGAAGATTAATATTAGAATTGAATAAATTTGTAAACAAATGTTACTTAAACCATAAGATAGCCATCTGTAAAAAGGCAAGTGAGGGAATAGTCTTTTATAATACAAGGGCAGTAAATCAAGTAATGTTTCAGGATTATAAGAATCTGCACATTTGTTCTCGGTTTCCATTTTTCTAGCTATCAATTATGTACTATCAAGATACAAAAATATAAATTTCAGCAACACTATAAATTAGTTCGGCGTATCACAACCCTAGATAATATACTAATTACAACCACAGCATTTTGAATATGTTTTTATACACAGGTTATTTATCGTTGGCGCTAATTTTTATGTCAAATAAACTGTCAAAACCGTCAAAACGTTCGTGCAGAATTTTCAAGTGTTGGCTAGCACTACAATGAGTTACTGTCATACAAATAATGGCAATTTTGATATCATCATGTCCAAAAATAATAAACTATCCAGCGATTATATGTTCAAATTACAAAACAAGGTTTGACATAAAATTAATTTCTATATTAATTTTATAAATTATTTTTTGTTTTATTTGTAGGTTAGGTGACACACTAAATTCACTATGTGAAATTAGAATGTTATACCCCTATCGAACGGGACTTCTTCCCATGGGAATACCCAAGAGGTCGTATTCGGGAAGGCAATTAGTAGGGTAACTGTTTTAGTTAATAATTCTATAACACAATCGACTTTTCCACATATTGCTGTGCAAACAATACTCTATGCCAAATAAACATCTTAAAAATAAATGAAATCATAACGATCCCTATTCAGTAGTCGCATTGAAAATTATTATATAAGATTGCGATACAAATTTCAAGCATGCAATAATTACAATCAAAAATCATTATATAAGATTGCAATACAAATTTTAAGCATGCAATAATTAAAATCATAAATGCTCATATTTAGTTCAATCTATTTTACTGTCCTTTCAAGTTTTAATTGAATGTGTATTACAGATATTCTAGAGAGCAAATGTTTGATGTGGTTTCTGATGTTGAAAATTATGAAAAATTTGTCCCATGGTGTAAACGATCTATTATAACAACAAGAAGAAAAGGCTACATGGAAGCAGATTTAATTATAGGCTTTCCACCAGTTACCGAACGTTATACTTCTGCTGTGACTTTTACCAGACCAAATGTTGTTAAAGCAGAATCAGTTACAGGGATATTGTTTAATTATCTCGTAACATATTGGAAGTTCAGTCCTGGCTTGCAACATATAGAACAATCCTGTGTTGTAGACTTTTCAGTTCATTTTGAATTTAAGTCAGTGCTACATTCACAATTAGCAAATACATTTTTTAATAAAGTAGTTAATAAAATGGAAGAAGCTTTCTTATTGGAAGCTAGAAGACGCTATGGAGCTGCAAGTATGAATGCTTTACCATTACGAGTAACACAAGATAGATGACAAACTTATTATTTATAAATGCATGTACATAACTTATAATATGAATTATATATAAATAAACCAGACACTTAAAAATGATAAAAATATTTTATAAATCATTCACTTACAACTAAAATAAAAATATAATTAATTTCACATTTGCCCACATTGAGATATAGTAACCGAAAGTTTTGGTTTGTTATTAGGTCCTGTTGGAACATTTTCTATTTTTCTCATAACTAATAATCCATCTATCACACGTCCAAATACAACATGCTTGTTATCCAGAAAATTACATCTTGCACAAGTAATAAAAAACTGGCAACCTAAATTTAAAATAAATATTTAGATTCATTTAAACTTTTTAAAAAAATGTATCAGCAAACGAAATATAGTGAGCAAATATATTATGTATTAGACAACCATATACTAATTTGAAATTTTTTAATTGAAATTTACCATTCATGTCCCGTCCACTATTTGCCATTGATAGCAACCCTGGTGCATCATGTTTTATTGAAAAATTTTCATCAGCAAAGGTAGTTCCTCCATATATGCTCATAACGCCAGTTCCATCACCCTAAAAAATCATATTTCTTAAGATATATAAAATAGTATAGGGTTTTATGAAGTATTAATGTCCTACATTCACAAAATCTCCACCCTGGATCATGAAATCCTTAATTACTCTGTGAAAACTAGCCCCTTTGAATCCAAGAGGCACTCCATCTTTTTTATACTCGCCAGTACAGAATTGTCTAAAGTTCTCACTAGTTTTAGGCACCACATCAGCGAATAATTCAAAAATCATTCTCCCAATTTCCTTGTATATAATAAAAATAATAATATATTAATTAATTATTAAGCTTTTTATATATATTTTTAAATGAAAACTCACAATTGTTCCAACCATAACATCGAAAAAAACGACTGGATTATTCGGATGTTTAAGCTGAGATTGGATTTGAGCCCACGAAGGCATTTTATAACTTATTTAAATCTTAATTATGGAAGAAATTATCAGGTTTCTAATTAAAATTATATTGGATATTAACGAACTTTTGCGGTTAACCTATAATTTAACTGACAGGCGACCATAGTTACAGTGACTTCTTAATAGAGGGATACTGTCTACTTCTACAAACACGTGCGTAAACAAAAATGTCAAGCAAGTCTAACCAAAATCATCAATAACGATCTTTATTTCTAATTAAATTTACAACACGTAAATAATAGAATACAAAACACTATTTTTATACATTTCATCTATTAGGTAATATACAATGGAAGAACATAATACTTCTGGAGATAGTTGTGACAAAATGGAACAAAATGTTATAGCCCTGCCACAAAAAAGACATTACCGACAAAGAGCTCATTCAAATCCAATTGCTGACCACTGTTTTGATTAGTAAATATTGTTATTTATATTAATTGAGAAAGTAATATATTACCATACAAATTATTTGATTGAATTCATACAAAAGTAACATGCCATTATCTTTTATAAAATATTTAAAATGATTGTAAAAATGATATAAATGGATACTTAGCTCTCATTAGGCTTTTTCCGTTTTAGCCCTTCATGTCCTGAAATGTATGACTGGTCCACATTGTACCCTAAGTCTGAGTTAACAAATGAAACTGGAGAGACGAAATATGTTGAATTTGCTGATATAGGTTGTGGTTATGGCGGTCTTTTAGGTATACAATAAATGGTATAATATTTTATTATTGTACAGTTTATGTAACATTTCTACTTCAGTTACTCTTTCAACAATGTTTCCTGAAAAACTTATGATTGGGATGGAAATTAGGGTAAAAGTTAGCGACTATGTAATGGATCGGATTAAAGCTTTGCGATCACAAAATCCTGGCTCTTACAATAACATTGCTTGTTTAAGAACTAATGCAATGAAATATCTGCCAAATTTCTTTCTTAAAGGGCAATTGACAAAAATGTTTTTCTTGTATCCTGATCCACACTTTAAAAAATCCAAACATAAATGGAGAATTATAAGTAACTGTCTATTGGCAGAGTATGCTTATGTTTTAAGAGAAGGTGTAAGTTTCATTAAAAACACTGCAATAGCATCAATTAGAAATTATAATTTATTTTATATTTAAGGGTCATCTTTATACAATAACCGATGTCAAAGATTTATTTGATTGGAATGTGAAACATTTAGAAGAACATCCACTTTTTGAAAGAGTGCCTGAAGAAATATTGGTAAATATTCTTTATTTAGCATATCATAACATGTATAAAAATTATTAATAAATAATTAATTTCAAATTAATTGTAGGATAAGGATCCTATCGTCGAAAAATTATATGATAGCAGTGAAGAAGGCAAAAAAGTAACAAGGAATAAAGGGGATAAATTTTTGGCTGTTTTCAGAAGGATAGAGTATAAAGGTGAAATAAATACAGATCACACTAATTGTAAATATGCAGTACAAAAAAATGTATTAGTTTTATGAAGTTAAAAAATTAAAACAAATGTATATGTATATTGTATATTAAAGGTTTGTATTATCTAATTCATGAACAATTGCTTCATCCCAAGGCCCATAAATATTATTTTTATGACACTGCCATTTATAGTACAAAATTGGGCAAAGGACGTTTATGAAACACAATGCTAGTAGATATATAACTGTTAATGTTGAACTAATTGAAGACATAACAAGTATGGTTGTTACTGTAAGTAAGACACAAATGTGTCTGTTCAATTTTGAGACTAATACCGAACACAAGGCAAAACATTCCACTGATAATGTTAGCAATACAAAGGCTTGGTATGGCGATGACAATCTTGATGCAAGACATATTGAAGCAAACATAGCCGCATTCAATGAAATAGCACTAGATACTATTGCTGCTGCAATTCCATAGTCATAAAATATCATATGCAAGCCAAAAGCAAATGTTGCTGCTATATATATTGTATCAGTACTTATACTATCTGTTAAATTGTGTAAAATTGGTGAAGATATATAACCGAATACTAAAAATACTGTCACAGTCTTTATATCCTCTATAAATGCACTTTTCAAACTCGCTGACTGCAGTCTGATAAACATGTAACATAGCATTCCAAAAATATTCAATAAAACAAATATGCTTTCAGCTCTTATCCAATCATTGTATAGATGAAAAAATATAAGTACAAATGCTATAGTCATCGAGAACTCTTGAGTGACTCTGCCAGCACCAGTGAATACGTTCCAGAATGATACATTCTGAACATTAATATTTTTTCTCAACTCCTCTAAGAAAGTATGATCTGTATAGTTATCTGCATAAGAAGTATTTTCATACAGATTTTTCTTCCAGGGCTTCCTTGTTTCTTGATTAGATGTCATAATTTAAAATTAAAATTGAATTCCTTATCATTAGGCATGTTATTTTAAGCGGAGTAGTAGCTTTTTGACGTTTTTGACCTTGCTCATTGCATATACGGTCATACTAAATAGAGAGAAAATTTCAAGGATGTAGATGTACCAACAAAAGTCAATAAAAAACATCAACAGTGATATGCAAAATCATGCGGCCTATTAATTATATTAACCTAACATCCTAGACAATATTAGAATCATAGATAAAAGAAGAGTAAATTTATTGTATTCATTCATGCCTAACATTATGTTGACTTTACAATGTTTTGAATTTCGCGCTTTGAATTGTACAAGTGGCCACAGACATTTTGACGCATGTTGCTAACTTTAATTGCTTCGATTGTCAAAGAATTTTCGTGAATTAACATGTGCCCGAGTTAATTAAACTTTTTAATTAAATATTTGATTGGATTCTGTTAATTTGTACATCAACTCGTTTAATTAATTTAGTAGATAATAATGATATAAGAAATTCATCATTTTGGAAGTACCTAGGTGTACCTTGAATAGTTTGATAAGTATCTCTTTCAGGGCCTCCATTTTGAGTCAATTTTATAATTAAACAATTTATTTACAGCACCAATGTATCCTTTAATTATATACATGCAAATATCAATAGTATAATTTATATATGTGCTTTTGTAGGTTATACCTAAGTACTTCTACCACATATCTGTTTTTATCGAATTCTAAATTCACGAAAGTCTCTAATGTAAGTCGTTTGTCGTGTATTGTGTAAAGACTTTACTTGGACAATTGCAACAGGTCAAATTGACTTATAAAGGACTAAAGTTATGTAGTGGTTCTAAAGTAGTGATTTTGTGTCGAGTACTTGAGATTTCTGGCAGATGCTCTAGAGGTGGTTTGGGTATTGGATTAGTGTTCTGGGAGCTGCTATAGAGGATATCGAGCAATGTAAGTGCAAAGCATGTTTTATACAAAGCGAGTCAAAGAATATATTTCTGGAATTATATACAGGCATTTTTCGTACTACAACTTCTGCACTTATAATATTTTAAATATTCAATATTTAACTTTTACAATATGCATTCAGTTTATCTTAATTTCGAATTAAAAGCGGTCAAATAACTTTGAAAATCTTTATTTCGCCATAATATTGTTTGTCATCTTCAATAAAACTATGATTTGAATAGAAATAGATCTGAAAAGAGTTTACAATTATTGACCGAGTTTTTATTACATGCTACTTTTTATGCTTGTTATAATAATATTTCTTATTAATTATATATTTAATGCTTGTTTTTTATATCAAATGAAATGAATGAATGAAAATTAATTGGAAGATGCTTCAAGAACTTGTTTTTTTGTTATATGATATCATTCACAAAGCAGCCTGTATATATTTCTGTGGAATATTTTTTGATTTGTGCATTATTATTATTTCGCATACACATATCTGCTGAAAATAATGTTAATATTTAATAAGATATACTTTATTAATTTTTAATGCATAAAATACGATATATTCTTTGTTTATTCAACTACAACTATTATGCAAATAAAAGATTTTAAATTAATTTGGCAGACATATGTGTAAAAGACTATGTTCATATTCAATTTGTTATGGGGAAAACATGTTGATTCAGTTTTTTTTTTTTAAATTTATACAAGTGCATTTTATACTTGTTTTAAATATATATATGAAAGAAAAAAGTTTATATTTCTCTTATGTATCAAAGTCATTGAAAGTAATTTATATTATTACAATTCCATGAATAGTCTATCAGAAATTCTTTTGTTCTATAACAACACTATGAGCTGATTTTGTGTAGAATTCAGAATTTTTATATGTATATTAAATTTTTGTTACCAAATTATTAGTTAACCAATACAGCTTTTTGTAAGCATTGATTACTCATTTGTTGCAGAGGCCCTAGCATCTTTCGTTAGGTAACTCCTAAATTGATCGTATTTTATTACAAATTACAAATTTACTTTGTTACAAAAATCTCTTTTTTTTGTGACACCTCTTGTTCATTATTCTTCGGAAATTTACATTTCCAGTATCAAGAATCATGTGTTTTCCCTGTAGCGATATTGACTGCATGTACATTCTTATTTATGGATAACACGATTGTTGATTTTGATCAAAATATTTCAAATACTCAATACGACTTACCAAATTGTTAATTGAATGCAGCTTTTAAAAGTCTTTTACTGTAATTTTATTTTAAATTTATTCAATTATATTGCTGCATAGCTAAATGATAGATTTTTATTTTTATATTATTAAGAACAATTTTGATCAAGACTTGCAATCAAAGTTTCAAGGAGTTGACTTGAATGATTAGACGAAATATAGTTTTGTTTACAAGTTTATTATTCGATTCAAGTTGTAAAAATTATTTAACTCGATTTCTAAAGGATAACAATCAGCTTTAAACAGTTTTGAAGTTTTTAATGTTCAAGTTTTCGAACATTTTTCATTATTTCATTTTACCAGTTTTATTGAATTTCTTTTATGGCTTTTTCTAATAATTTGTATATTATTCAAGTCAACTAAAATTGTTTTTGTCTCGATTAATTGTAAAGGTTTCACATGTTTTATCAAGTCGTATAAACAATTTTGATTCGATTAATATCATTTTATTTCATCGAATAATTAAATAATTCTCTCGAATAATTTTATTTATTTTTCTAAGTCCAATTTTTCTGATTATAATTCTTTCGAATAATTTTTTTTTTCTAAGTCCAAATTTTCTGAAACCTTTTCAATTAAGACAGACGAGTTATTTATGCATGCTGTATTATCCCAAAGCCAACATTCGAATGAATGAGGCTCACATTGAATATTTCACAACGAGAAAATTTTATTGGGGCAAAGTTAAATATTTTAACTAAGTCCCAGTAATTTTTTCTCGTAGTGAAAATTTCAACGTGGACTTTCATTCGAGTGTTGACTTTGGGAATTGGTGTGAGGGAACACTAAAAAACATAAAAAAGTTTCAACGCTGAACAGAAAAGAGAAAAATTGATCTGGGACTTAGGGGGTTTTTTTTAAGGCTCCCACCTCCCCCTTCTTCCTCCTCCTCCTCCTCTTTCCCTTTTTTTTCCTTTTTTTCCGCTTTTTTTCACATTTTTTTTCCTTTTTTGGTGTTTTTTTCGCATGTTGTGGTGGTTTTTGGGTAGATTTTCGGGTCCGGCATGCATCTTTCGCAATGTGTCTCTCTGCGTGTAACCTCTCGCATCATGGACCTCAGGTTGACCATCACTTGGTGTGTTCGTTTCAGGACCCTTTGCGCTCGCCAACAGCCAGCCACCAGCACTGCTCCATTTTTTCTGCTTCAGAGTTGCTCGTCGTCGCCTTCAGCTGGACTCGATCCGTCTTACCTTGTGCCTGCCTCCAGAGCGATTTCACCGAGTATGCGGTCACTTAAACCGCTCGGCTATTTAAGTTATTGATGATAAAAGTTATTTTTATTCCTATATTGTATTAATATTGAATTTTAATAAAGAATATGTATCATACACATCTCTCTTATTCATCATCTGCCTCTACCCCTCTCTTTCCCCAGTGCTTCCTCTTTTTTTTTTTTTTTTTTTTTCTCTTTATGTATCTCTCTTACAGTCAAGTGCGAAACTTGAGTTTTTTGTTTTTCAGAAATATTCTAAGTGTCAAGGTCGAAATGCGACACCTGAATTTAATATTTTGAACTAATATTTGATAATTATGAAAAACTAGGCATTTGATTTTTTGTGCCTCTTCTGGAATCGAACCGAGACACGCTGAGCAATCTTAGTGGTCACTTAACGATCTCGGCCAATTGGTTACTCGAAACCGTAGTCTTTTGTAAAAATATAAAGTATTATTTTCAAACTGAAAGATATAAGTTTCCTAAAAATGTAGTGTGCCAAATGTGGGAATGGCCGAGGTCGTAAAGATACGGTTTAGGCCAGAATATCAATTCGCCAGTTCGCCAGTTCGAACCCCATTTGACTGAAAAAAATATTTGGAACCAATAATTTTTCAAACTGTGTAAATAAATAAGACATATAGATAGAATTAAATTTATTGAGTGTCAGTATTACAAAAATCGACATAATATATATGTGCATATATATAAATATAAATGTGTATGTATATATATATATATATATATATATATATATAAATAAATATATATACGCATATATATATATATATATATATATATATATAAAAGATAAGAAAAAGTAGGAGAATAATTTTTAATAAATTCATATTTACGCCTGGTTAGCAGTAAACCAAACCTACTTTGGTGTAATTTAAAAATCTAATTATTTTTCCGATAAAAAGACAGTCTATCAGGAGCAGCCAAAATTGGCCAAAATCGTGACTTTCAAATGCAATTTTAAGGCCCTTAATGAATGAAATTAATAATTTTAATTAATGCTTTGTGTAGACTAAAGTACAATCTTTATACCAAACCAAAAAAAAATACAAATTTATCATCGTCTTCATAGTTAAAATCAGCTTCAAAGTTGGCAATTTTTCAAACTTCAATTTGGTACCAAGGGCAGAAGAATTTTTTTTTCAAAAAAAGTAATTTCATATTCGGAATCAGCGCCTCGAAAACTATCAGAATCGGTCAAAACATTTTGAAAATCGCGAAAAAAAAATTTAATTTCATTAGTAAAATTTTGGTTTTGCTACCAATGATTTCGATTTTTCGCAGCGGTATGTGGATTTATCCAAAAACGGATGATATTTTCGAAATCAGCGTCCCAAAATCAATCAAAACCAATCAAAACATTTTGAAAATTGCGAAGAAAAGCCGATTTTTTTTTAAAAAAATCGATTTTGCAACCAAAGATTTCGATTTTTCGCGGGGTGTGTGTGGGTTTATCCAAAAATAGATAGCATTTCTGAAATCAGCGTCCGAAAATCTTTTGGAATCAGTCAAAATATTTCCAAAATAGCGAAAACAAGTCTATTTTTTTGCTAAAAATTCCGATGTTGCAACCAAAGTTTTTGTTGTTTTCCAGTGGTACACGCCCTGAAAGCTCATCAAACAGGATAATTTGGTCCTTTTCATCAAAAACACTTTGTCCAACTAGTTGTTGATTATATTTTTCCACTACTATAGGGGAGACCTAGGATTTATGGTTCCTTTTAAGGCAATCTTATAAGTCTTAAGCGCCTGTAATAAAAATTAAAAATTATTCTAAGGATAGGTTTTAACTTGATATTATTCAAATTAAGTAAAATGGACTGCTATTCATGATTTTTTTATAAACTCATTTACTCAATTTGAATATAATAAATATCAAGTTCAAATCATTGACTATTATGAAAGTTTTTGCCGTTTTATTTTTATAAAATATTCAAAGATATCTATCCACAGATTTTTGAATAAAGTTTTTGCCGTTTCACTTTTATGAAATATGCAAAGATATCACGGGTTTTTAATGTTTTTTTTAAACACATTTCACTCAATTTGAATATAATAAATATCAAAAAACTTATTCGTGCTATTCATGCTTTATCCACGGTTTTAACTTGATATTTATTAATTATCAATTAATATTAATTAAAATTCAATTATTGTCTTACATTTAATTACATTATGAAAAAACATAGCAATATTCGGTTCGGTTCTATATTGAAGAAGCAATTATTTAAACTAAATGTATTAATAATGCAAGATGTAACATATTATTAGACCAACTTGCCTTTTTAATGTAGATTTAATGACTAAATATGATTCTATAAAAAAACATAATTTTTACCTAAATTTTAAATATATTTTTTCGACATATGCATATGCATTTTCTGACGTGGTCCACCTTCATAACTTGGGTGCTTCTGATCAAATTATGACATACAAATCAACATATATTTAATATATACATATATTTAATAGCACCTGTAATAGAAAGAAAGACAATAATAATAGACTATAAAAAAGGTCTTGAAAATCGATTGAAACTTAGTAAAATACATGGATAAAAAATCGATTAAAACTTAGTAAAATCCATGAATAATAATAATAAAGTCCATGAAAAAGACCTTACAATCGAATAAAACTTAGAAAAATACACATATAAGTTTTTTGCATATTTTTCTATAATACAAGTATCTATTACAATTTACAATTGAACAAAATTATTGCAAAATATCAATAGTCTAATAATTAAATTATCAAAAGAATTTTGTGTTTCATAGCAACTAAAAGGAAGTAGTAAACAAGAGCTATTTCTTATTATCATCACTGTACAAATATATATATATATATATATATATATATATATATATATATTAGAGATGGGTAACTCACTCCAGAGTTATCACTCCAATACTCCCTCGGAGTAAATCCGAGTGGAGTTGTCTCACAGGATTTGTCATATCTGACTTCCCTAAACTGGTACTAAAACTGTTACTGCGTTTTTGCTTTGGAAAAGAAGCTGTGGCGCTCTCGTCTCACAGGCGATTTTATGACCTTTTGGTATGTTTTTTCCAGAAAATACAGAAATATTACTTTAAAGATACAGAACAATGAAGTATTATTATTTGGTGAAAATATTTTATGATAAATGTTTTGCTTTTATTACAAAGTTTACTACATTATTTTTATATAAAATTAATCCAAAAATCAATTATTTTCTCATCAAACGAAAATAATTAAATTGAAATTGATTCTCAAGTTTTGCGTTTTTACTTTGGTCAACACTGTTCAAATTACGAGTCATTGAGTCGATCATGTGGTCGACCGAAAAATTTTACAACTCGTCATTTATTTGTGAATTTTTTAGAAAAATTATTTTATTGATATTTTTTTATTTTATTTTATTCATAAATTTTTATTTCAAAAAATTAAATGGGATTTGACAAATCCTTAGATGCATAAACAACGCACTATAGAACACATTTGTGTCGAGTATTTCGGTTTCAAAGTTGTGGGAGTCGTCCTAATATATATTAGGACGACTTTGCAACCAAAGATTTTTCGCTGGGTGTATGTGGATTTATCTAAAAACGGATAGCATTTTTGAAATCAGCGTTTTAAAATCTTTTGGAATCAGTCAAAAGTGCGAAAACAAATCCATTTTTTTGATAAAATTCCGATATTGTAACCAAAGATTTCGTTGTTTTGCAATGGTACACGCCCTGAAAGCTCATCATGATTTGCAAATAGGATAAAATCGCCCTTTTCAACAAAAAGACTTTGTCCAATTAGTTGTTGATTATAATTATAAACTTCAAACAAAAGTGTGAATAGCACTCTATGGTTTAAGAATTATAAATCAAACTTTTATCTATTTTCTGTTTTAGTTCGAGCTAGAAACTGTTAAAACCTACGGAAAATGTTAAAAATAATCCATGGATAGATATCTTAAAGTATTTTATAAAAATAAAACGGCAAAAACTTTGTTAAAAATAATCCATGGATAGATTGATAAATATCTTTGAATATTTGATAAAAATAAAATGGCAAAAACTTAAAAATAATCCATAGATAGATCCATTATTTAAAAATAATTTATTAATTTGCTTCTTAAAAATAAGACTTTCCATATATACGGATCAATGTTCATATAGAAATCGTACAGTTTATTTTTAATTCTTCACTAAATGTTTTCAAATTAAATATGAGATTTATTTATTTTTATCAAATATATATCAATATCAAATTTCAAAATTGCTTGTAGAAGCAATTGAAATGAATTACTCTACTTCGATTTCAGTCAAATTTTACTAAAAATACATTTTATTCATTGAGTAATAAATACGGTTGCATTTATTCGATTACATTCTCAAAAATACATTCTCAAAAACACCGATAGCGGCGATGACGGCCGAGTTTTCTTTATTAGTTCAAAATAACGGCATTTACAAAGGATTTTGGGTTTAATACATATTGGAATCCGCGAATAACAAAATTTTTAACCGCGAATATAGGAAATTTTTTTGGCCGCAAAAAGCCAAACGCGTATGAAGAATAAGGAACTTCTACTATATATATATATATATATATATATATATATATATATATTTATATGTGTATGTGTGTGTGTGTAAATACCTTAAGTTGTCCTTTAGTGCTGGATGCGTCTATCTTGTTTATACCTGCCAACATACTGATACGTCTGAGAGAGTCGCCGCAACAGTTCCTGACATTTTGCATTAGTGCATATTCAAAGAATTAGTTGTTGTCCATACCACTGATTCTGTTCTGGCCACTGTGCTCCTCTTGATCGCCGTCACTCTTACCACTGAGCTATCAGATAACATACTACAATATGTTATGAAATTGCAATGAGATTCAAGATTCAATAAAGTGAAGTTCCTCACATACGAACTTTTCCTCCTTCTGCCATCTGGGTCTCACTGTTTTTTTTAACCAAAATTCTATGACAGAAAAATTGTTAACATCTGCGGGAACAGAACCGACGACCTTGAGGTTACCCCATATCGTCAACCGGTGACCTTACGGTCTTGACTAATCAACCACTCCACAAACATTGATTTAAACGTCATTATATATGTTACAATAAAAATGCAGTGTATTTTATACACCGATTAAATTGCTGCAGACGAATCGCGCACGTTGCGAACAGGATGCGCCGAACGGATTCAGAAATGAAGACGGTTAGGTTTTGCCTTATTCGAAATGTTATTCCCATAAATAAACAAACAGATAATAAACAGTGGTATGCCCATGTCACATCTTTCGGCTTCCTCCAATACACGAAGCAACATAAGGTTAAACGAGAGAATTGGCAACTGAATGGAATCCTATTGGTAACAGTTTCCGCCATAAGCGAACAAGGAGCAGGATCTGCACAGTTGATCAAATCTTCAGCCTCATAAAAAGCCACAAATTATTAAACAGTCTCAATTCTGTATCAATTGTATCATTTATTTACTGTTGTATCAGTATTTACAACTGAACAGCAGAAGAACAAAATTTTTTTGAAAAGTCAATCACTTCTTAGGTTTTTATTCTTTACCTTTAAGATCTGTATGTATTCGACAAGTAAGGAACATAATAGAAAAATTATAAATACTTACATCAAAATAAAATATATTAATAAATACTTTTAATACATCAATAAATTTAGTATAGCATAATTGCTATTGTTTGTTAGATGTTTTTATAAATATTATTCATTCTAATTATATTCTTAAGTTACTTCAGAGGTATCTGATGATGAATAAATATCAGGCAACGTCAGACAAGTTTCATTAGATGATGTGTACCGTATTAGGCTCGTCGATACACTACTAGATTCGACTGCTGCATGCAAGGAATCATAGAGAAGTTCTTGAATTACCAAAGATAAACTAAAAATACGATCATAATTATTCTTTTTTGTCAAAATATATATTTAGTAGTCTACAACTCACTATTGACTTTCATGCCTTGAGTCTTTGCTGTTTATGCTTTTTATTTGGGAATATTCAGGAACATTCTCTTCTGCAAGGGCTTCTAAATTTTTTTCAAACAACTTGCACCAAACTACATCCCTTTAGAAAAAGAATTGCTTTATATATGATCTATATATATTATACAAGCTATAACTATTATTTTAAAGAGTTACCATAAAATCCTGTCGAATAATTCACATAACATAAAATTTTTTACTTCAGGCTTCAACTCCTTTTCACTTCCCAAATTATTGTCCGACAATGGAGGAACCTAAACATGAAATCATCAATATTTACCTAAATAAAAAAATTATACTTATTTCAGCTAAATTCTGAGAACATATTTGAATATCATTTATAGATTATTAAAATGTGAATATTTCATACTTCATTATTATGATATTTATACATTAATTCAATTTTACTACATTTTTTTTATTTAATACTTAGGAGTTAGAACCAAACAAATGTGTAAAATAAAGTTAGAATCATATTAGAATCTTTACGTTGGAATTGGGAACATACAGGGTCGGGCATTCGAAGTGTAACCAATTGTAAAAACATAAATTCAGTTTGGAAAATTACTTTTACTCGATTCAAAGTACAAAATGTCTAAAAATAATACCAAATTTAAAACCAATTTACTTTTGCTCGATATGAGCACTTTTTGCTGTGACTGTGGCCTTTAGACGGTCCAAAAACGAATCGCATTTGGCCAAGCGTGCTAAATTTCCGAACGAGAAAATTTTTACAGTTGAGCAATTCGTAAACTCTCAAAACGATAGGGTTTACTTGACCGACAGTTCAGACAAGAATTTGAGTCATCGATTGGCCACCAAGAGGCAGCCCCCTCCACAGAAAATGGTTTGGGCCTCTGTAACCGCAGATGGGCGATCTCCAATCGTTTTCATCGAGCCTGGCGTCAAGGTAAATGCGCAATATTATAGGGAAAGTATTCTGAAGGTTGCTTTGAAGCCATGGGTAAACAAAGATTTCGGTGGCAGACCATGGACGTTTCAACAGGACTCGGCACCGTCTCATAAAGCTCGAATGGCTGAAAAACAACGTTCCGAACTTCACAACGTCCGCACAATGGCTCTCGAATTCACCAGACGGGAATCCTATGGATTATTCTCTTTGGGCCATTTTGGAGAGCAAGGTCCGAACTAAGGGGTACATTCGCCAGTGGGCCAAAATACCTGAAAATCATGTTCGACCAAATACGATTTGTTTTTGGACCGTCTAAAGGCCATAGTCAAAGCAAAAGGTGGTCATATTGAGCAAAAGTAAATTGTTTTTAAATTTTGCATTATTTTTACACATTTTGTACATTGAATCGAGTTAAAGTAATTTTCCAAACGGAATTTATGACTTTTTCAATTGATTACACTCCGAGTGCCGGACCCTGTAGATACACCTAAATTTACCGACATATGTAATTTGAACAATTCTAAATATGTTTCTACTAAATGCTTACTTGCATTGTATTTATACTTACTTGGGTACAATTGTCATGTTGTGAAAGTAATGGAAAATAGTGAAAACTATATGACATCAAAAGACTATTATCAGCAGTACAACATCGTGCCACCCGAGCGCATATGTCTAAAGAAAGACAATATTCGATTTCTGGCGGTGGAGATGGTGGAATCTGCAATTAATAATTTAAAATATAGGAAATGTAAATTATATTTGGATGTCTTCAGTTGAACATGCATATAGAAACATCGCTCTAATCTAGGAAATTGTTATGAAAGAAAAGTTTCATATAAATTATGTTGTGCGCAGTCCATGGACTGCAAGCATTATTGGAATAAGAAATATTATAATATTAGGTTGTCAAATATCTCCCTTCCGCCTTTTTGTATTATAAACCAAGAGCAAAAAAGCGGAGATATTTGACAACCTAATATATGCTGTCTTTATTATAGTAGGTTAAGCTGCATACTATAAGTTAAACAATTAAAATTCACGAAACTTGAACAAAAAAACGCTAAAATAAACTCATAACATTTAAAATAAAAAAGATAATTAGCCAGTTTATATCCGAACTACTTAGGACTATTTTCACCAATAATAGAATACTTTTTAAGTGCTTAACTTAAACTTTTAAGGTCTTAACTTACTGGTTCACTATATCCTTCTTCAGTGATGGTAAACCATCCTGTGGTTTGCCAAACCACGGGGTGTTCCATCACTTTAACTTGGCACTCAATTGGCACATTAACTATGCAAGCTGGACCTTCTGATATTAAGTGAATTCGTACAGTAATTGTACGAAAAGACGATATGTATCCTTTACAAGGCTCAACTTGAATGCAAAGTATGCCATTTAAAATATAACTAAAATAATAAAAGCAATTATAGGCACACACTTATATTAAAAATCTGATGTTTTCAAAGTAAATGTTAACGCCAGGACCGACTTTTATTAATTCACTAAGGAGTAGTTTAAGTTTTTGTCAGAAAATAGTTTTCTCGAGGTTCGAAGTCATTCCGAATAGTTTGAGACGAGATAGATTTTTTTAGCTTCGTCGAGTTTTTCTCAAAAACGGCTGCACTGAATTAAAAATTGACTGGTGGTGTATGGCATCGTGCCTTGAGGCAAATTGCTGGAACTTCCCGTACCAAATTGAAATTTTGAGAAACTTAATTTCGATATTCAAACTTATTCGGAGTTGCTCCGTAACTCCAAAACTGCTAGATCGACCTTTGCCAAAAACTAATCAGCACATTTTCCTATCAATAGTACTTGAATGTTTTTTGAACCATTAAAATCGGTTGATCCTTGCGCCCGAAAACGTGGACAAAAAATTGTATCCATGCACACACATCTATTTTGTCTATGGTATGCCAAAATGTTCAGAAACATTCAAAACGTGAAGATATGCAAAAACTTTTCAATTTCGATTTTTGGAGGATTACAATAACTTACCCTACGAGAAGTTAAAAATTCGATGTGACTGGTGTTGATTAGTTTTGGAAAGATTTTCACCCGCAATTCCGCAAAAAAATCATAAACCAATTTTGAAAATTTAAAAGCCGTTGAAACCGATCATTTGAAAATCGTGTTAATTAGTTATTGGCTAAGATCGGAAGGAACGATTTCTATAATTTAATTTTTTACTTCTAATAGTATAATCAAAAGGGCGCCACTTGTGTCGGCCCATGAGGCAGTAGACGTTATAAATATTTAAAATTAAGTTTGGCGATCCTAAATAAATTTTTAAACTTTCAGTTCATTTTTGATTATAGAAAACTAGTTATATTTACTTGCTCCATTCATATTGAACACATTTATCGCTGGTATTTTCCATGTGAAGGACCACATCTCGCTTCGAGTGACTATGAGAGACGATATTTATTCTAGTTTCAGATAATATAATTGGAACATGCGATGGCAAATAACCACATCGAAGTTGACGCCTCGCAAGGTGACGAAATGCACTTGACAATGGTGCAGAGCTTATTGTTACCTCGCCAATTATAAGCAACTGAGTAACAAAATCCCCAGTGTGTAAAAGAAGGATAATCTAGATAATAAAGTAGATATACAGATATTTTCTTTATAATTATTTTCTCAAGAATTTTGTACACACTTTTTTATTTTAGTAACAAAATTAGAACATTATTATTTTCTTATTTAGGCAAACTTGGTATTGTAAATATTTTTGTTTTTTATATTTACAACTTCATTTTTCCATATAAATATTAAAACGGGTGAAATATGCAACATTATACAAAATTATGTGGAGATTTTTTTATAAATATGTATTATTGATAAATTTGTGGGAGACATAATGTCTTCCCAATATCATATAATATATCAATACATATTTATAAAAAAATCTCTACATAATTTTGAAGGCAAAGGTTCTTCAACAGAAAAATAGCCATTATATATAAGATAAAGTATCAATATATTAATATATATGGTGTGGTATAGGTAACATCTGAGATGCCATAATCAAGAAGATAAAGATTTTAAAGCATTTTTCATTAATCCATACGTTTGGACATAAAATTGTATGTGAAACTAATCATAAGCATAAAAACAAAGTATAAATAAATAATATAATGTGTTTTAATACCACGTTCATTTTTGTTAAAATTATAGATTCGCTGATGATGACAGAATTTCAAATCTTTTTTACTTGATGTTAGGTCCTTTAAGATTTTATTTATACATTTCGGTATTAGCTATTCTTAACACATACACACACATACACACATATATATCTATATATATATACAGATATATATATATATATATATATATATAAATTAAATTTATACCTGTTCCAGCTGCAATTGATATGGTTTAAACATTATTACTACAGGATAAACGGATAATGGTTGCACTGTCCCTGAATTTTGTTTAATAGAAAAAGCTGGATTAGATGTTGTAAATTCAACAGAAAAACTCACCGGAACGTCATAACTATTACAGATCCAAAATATCTAGAAAAAATTACTATTTTATTCAGAGATACATAATTAATAAATAATACATATGTTATATGTAGAGGCGTGTGAGAGTCGATGTATACCATGTGTTTACTTTTAGTTTATATTTTATTAATTATATTATTCATCCAACAATGTGCGGATTGTATTAAGACCATCCATCCAAAAATTATTGTTTACATTAATAATTTTGGTTCACAAATAGCAAAATATTTTATGTAAAAGGTTTGGAATTGAAACAGTAATTTGACCAAGAATAATTTTCTTTTAGATATTGATAATGTTTATATAATTTAAATCGTCCAAGTTTATTATTTGCTTATTTTGTAATTAAATAAGTGATTTATTAATTAAATAAGTAAAATGATTAAACGAGTTACTTGTAAAGGAGGGTCAGCGTCGGCAACACAAACGGGGTGCAGTTCATAGAAAAAGTCAGACTCATGTTTCTCTGGATTTCTATGAGCCAAAGGAAGTAATATGTGCCTGTCTTTTGGTAGAACATGCACAGTCATATACATAATTATTTTACGCTCATTTTCGAACCTGTAATATAATATAGAGGGTGAAGGTTTAATAATAATACCACAGTTTGAATGAAAATCAAACATCAAATTCTGGGCACCAACCGGGAAAAAGACACTAACATATATATATATATATATATATATATAATATATATATATATATATATATATATATATAATATAATATATATTGTATATAATAATATATAATTACATAATTTCATATGCTAGCTCATGTGTTCCTCGCAGGGTATAAGAAATGCAAAATTCAATTACTCCATATGCTGCTTTTTCAATGTTCATAGAATTTGGTGTCATTTTAAATAGCTCTCTATGGGGACATGTATCATAAGAAGATTTATATAAATTAATATTTCCGATTTTTTTCTCAGATGCTTTACAAGTGCAAAGTTTGCGTCTGCGAAAATTCACTGAAGCCTGAAAACAACTTGCTAGCACATCAATTCATAAATAAAGTATAAATATAGTTAGTTGTTATAATATTATTACATTACAAGAATATTTATTAATTATGATAAGATTCAACACCAGATCATCAGTTCCTTGAACGGCTGCTGGCGAAGACATGCGTACATTCATTGGTTTGTTTGGTTCGGCTAATTCAAATGCCAGATTAAGACTAGTTTTATGAACAACATACAATCATTATTATAAAATAATATTATAATCTATTAAATAATAACAATATAATGTGTCACATATTATAAGGAATTATTATAAATATATGCACTAAGAATTATTTATCTATTTTTGAAAAAAGCGTCTGGAGCAATTAGGCGCAATTACAGTTTCTTTATCAGTTTTTTATATATAAAGTGTGTGCCAAAATAAATTGATATATATATATATATATATATATATATATATACTAGCAAAGCCGACGAACTCCGTTTCGCCACCAGATGGTTTCGTGAGAAAGATGAAGAAATTTTTTGTTTGTTTTATATTTGAAAAAGAAAAATTTGATCAGGAAGGAAAACCCGACTTATTTTTATATATATACAGAAGATAATTTATTTGCAATTATTTAAAACAATTATTGATTATTTTTATTATTCGAATTTTTAATTACGGTGCGTGAAGTTCCAGCAATTTGCATTAGGGCACCACTGATTTTAGCTATAAACCTTGCGAAGCCCGAGACCTTTCCAACGAATGCAAAATTGTCGAAATCGGTTCGTGCGTTCTGGAGTTATTTCGTCAGGAAGGAAAACCCGACTTATTTTTATATATATAGAAGATATACAGGGCCGGTTCTACCTTGCGATACATACAAAAAATGCGGGCGCACACCTTAGGGGGCGCCAGAACGAGATTTGGATATGAAATTTATAATATAGTTTTTTCAATATCATTCAAAAAACATATAAGATGGGGGGGCGCTAGACAAAAAATTGGCATGCGGGCGCTGAGTACCCCAGTACCGGCCCTGGGGTACTCATATATATATATATATATATATATATATATATATAGATATATATATATAACAGTTTGTACAAAATAAGCAAGTTTTGATTCATGTGAGAAGTCCAAATTCATGCTCTGTTAAAATATATCTTATGAAATTAATTGTTTAGAATTAGAATCTAACGTTTTAATGTTGAGAAGATCCCACAAAATATCTGTAGAGAAAGTAATATTTCCAGAAATTTGTTGTAACTGTTCGATCTAAAATATGATTAGATTTCAAATTCAATAAATTCAATTTAAAATACTATTCCAAAATGTAACTATATACCTTTAAATAAGGTAAGCATTCCTTTTCTACAGGTTCAATATATTCTGTAGTGTTTTGAAATATATCAAAAATGTATTTTTCAAAGGATACATCAACATTTGCTACGGCTTCTTCGGATTGTGTTTCATCCTCTTCATCAGCCATTTTCATATGGAGACTTATTTTAAATTATTTTGTGAATATCGATAAATAAAAAATAATTAGAATACTTTAATAAATTATTACGCAATATGATGTTTAATATAAATGCAATGCTTTTGTTTCCATTCAAATAAATTCTTGACATTTTCTATATTTAGTAGATCTAAAGCACAAGGCAAGCTAGTTTTATGAACAATACTATATGATCTTTCCGGTATACATGTTGTGATGATAAAAACTTGAAAGGTTTATTTTAAAAATAAAGTTTATTATTCCAAACTTTCAGTTTAAGATTTTTTCAAATAAAGCAGGAATATGATATTTTCAAATTATAGTTTACATAGTGATTCACAAAGTGATTCACTTAGACTCCCATGGATCCCTGGCAACATTCAGGAGGCAAAAGAAAAAAGCAAGCAAAAAAGCTCTGGGTCCATGAAATGAAGATGGGGGCCCAAGGCCCACAAAACATCACGTGGTATTACGTATTATATACGTAAGGCGGCGTCCATTATAATCACGTGAGGTATTTAGGGAGTGTGGGGGGTTTGACAAAAAATTACAAAATATCACGTGGGGGAGCGAGGGGTATAGTAATATAATATGTGTATTTATTTCTTAACTATAGTAACGTGATAAAACTAACATTTTTGAATTTTTTTTGAAAATGTTTAAACTTTTTTTAAAAAAAATACTATTGTGATGTTTGGTGAGGGAGGGGGAGTAATTTTGAATATCACCACGTGTCACCAAGTGGGAGGGGGGCGTCCAAAAAACCTTAAAAACTCGCTCAAGTGATTAATAGACGCCCCCTAACGTTCGTTAATATCTATTTACTAACATTATACTATCAAAAGTAATATTTATAAGCAAAACTAAAAAGTAAATAAAAATATCGTTCTTTTTTTATAAAAATGTGTAAGTTGTAGCATAATGTATAAGTCGGCATTCGATTTGTGATCGCAATATGGTTGAGCTTATAAAGACCCAATTTGCTGACCTTATTGAAAAGAATATTTTTTATGCTGTTTATACTCTAGTATTTCTGGATGATTAGCGTGGATAGATATCTTTATTACTTTATATATAGATATAGATATATAGATATTTATATTACTTTGCGAAAAAATCCATGGATAGATAGATATCTTTGGATATTTTATATGAAAACCAGTGGTGTATGGCATCGTGCCTTAAGGCAAATTGCTGGAACTTCCCGTACCGTAACGAAATTTCGTTACATTAATGTTCGAGGAATATTAAATGTTTTTAAATAGTATATATATAGATATATAGATATTTATATTACTTTGCGAAGAAATCCGTGGATAGATAGATATCTTTGGATACTTTATATAAAAACTAGTGGTGTATGGTATCGCGCCTTAAGACAAATTGCTGGAACTTCCCGTACCGTAACGAAATGTTCGAGGAATATTAAATGTTTTCAAATAGTTTTTTCAATCATTAAATCGGATGCTTAATTCTCCAAAAACGGCCATTTTTTGTACATTTAGCTCGGTATCTCCGAAACAACTGGACCTGCCTTTGCTAAAAACTAATCATCACTTCTCCCCGTCATTACGAAATGAACGATTTTTAGATAATTCAAATCGGATGCTCCGTTCTCTCAAAAACTCAATTTCTATTTTATGCACTTTTTGCTCCGTATCTCCGAAACGGCTGGCTCATCCTTTCCAAAAACTAATCAGCGCATCTCCCTATCAATAGGAATCGAATGTTTTTGAACCATTCAAAACGGTTGATCCGTGCGCCCGAAAACGTGGACGAAAAATTGTATCCATACATACATACACACACATCCATTTTTTTCTGAGGTATGTCAAAATGCTCAGAAACCTTCAAAACGTGAAGAAATATAAAATTTTCAATTTCGATTTTTGGACGATTACAGCAACTATTACCCTACGGGAAGTTAATAAAAACGGCAAAACTTTGCGAAAAAATCAGTGGATAGATATCTTTGGATACTAGCAAAAAATAACATGCTGATTTTAAACTCAATTAATAAATGTTACGAGTAACTTGTTGTTTTTTCTTGAAATATTTAATAATAAAATTTGGTATAGTTAGAATTAAAAAAAAGATATCAGGTAAATATAGCCTAAAAATAGGTAACAAAGCCCAAGAGGTCCACGAAACAAAAATGTTTGGAAACCTATGGATTTTGAACTCTTCAATGCATAGATAAAAGAAGTGTATATGCTTCAATAAGCATCAAAACTTTGCACTTACCTGCTATTTGTGAAAAACTGCTCGGCCGATCATCGAAAAACTAATCAACGAACAAGCTTCATCGAATGGCTTTCAAATTTTGGAAATCTGTGCAGCGGTTTTTGAGAAAATGGCGATGAAATCGTCAAATTTTAGCTCACTTACAAACATATATATGTAATATTTAAATATAATATATGATATTTTTTAATTTTATTATAACAAAGTAAATATTTATAAAATATCTTTCACACCTTGACATTACTAAAACTAATTTTTAAACAATTGTGTATCACACACACATATATACATAAACACACACACAAATGTCAAATTACTTCACCACGTGTTGTAAGCAAAGCAGCTGTCATATTCTGTGTCAGTTCAACATATGCCTAACCTAAAATTTAAATAAAAAAATAAAATTCTTTTTAAAATTTAAGTAAAATGTCTCAATTAGTTGAAGAAACAGAACCCACAGATAAAAAGATTAAATTAGATACTAAAGACGAAGTTAAAATAGATTCAAATGGAAATTCAAATGAGGAAAGTACAACAAATTCTGAACGAGTTGAATCACCCACATCAAATTTGATATCAGAAAATTCTGTTCCCGACCATAAAAATGAAGAAAATGCCGAACAACCTATGTCCAAGAGCAGAAAAAAGAAATTACTGAAGTTAGCAAAATGGGAAATAAAGAAAATAGAAAAGCGAAAACAAGAACGTGAAAAACAAAGACTAAAAAAGCAAGAAGCTCGAGAAAAGGGTGTCCCTTACAGAACTGGACCTTCCAGGAAAAGTTTAAAACATGTAAAAATGGCAAATAGCAGTTGTCGAGTAACTGTTGCAATTGATCTGAGCTTTGATCACCTCATGATAGATAAGGTAAATCATAAAGACTGGAATATGATCTAAAGAAAATCATAGATCAATTCTTAAAATGTTTCTGATCCTGATTTTTAATAATATTTTTTAATTTTCAGGATATAGCGAAAGTTGTAAAACAGCTACTGCGAACATATACTTTAAATCGCAGAGCACTGAATCCAATGCAGCTCTGTTTTACTGGCTTGAAAAAGGGTGGGAAAATGCATGCAGCTATGTCTAAACATGATGGTTATAACAATTGGGATGTATGTATAATTCACATAATCATTTCATAGTTAGATCAGGGTATTTTATATATAAATTTGTTGTAACTATTTTGCTTCTTCTAGCTAAGAATAGAAGAACAGCCATATTCTGAAATCTATCCACATTCAGATATATGCTATTTAACAAGTGAATCTGAGAATGTTCTGGAGTCTTTAGATCCCAATACAGTTTATATAATCGGTGGCTTAGTAGATCACAATGCACATAAAGGTCTATGTTATCAACTTGCGAAAGAAAAGAACCTAAGGCATGCTCAATTACCATTAGAAAAATTATTGTTAATGAAGACTAGAAGAGTTTTGACTATTGATCATGGTAATATAAATAGACTTACTTGAATTTAGTATTGTGCCAACATACTGCTATAACATGTTAATTTTTGTAGTATTTGAAATTTTACTCCGTGTTACTGAGGGTAAAACTTGGACAGATGCTCTTCTCCAAGTCTTGCCAATGAGGAAAGGAGCAAAACCAGTTGATGATAAAATTGATACACAAGAATGTGTGGAAACAAGTGTAAATTAAATTAAATACACAAATGAAGGAATAAATGCATTAAACAAAATGTTGAACAAAAAGGATAGTTGTTATTTTTTATATAAAATAAATAAACTTCAGTAAAGGTGAATTATAGAATAAAATGTTGTCGGTCATACCTTGACTATGGTCAGGCCGCCTTATGGATCTCACTGGCAGATATATCTGCATTGAAAGAAATTATTTTTTTTTCATATTTATATTCATAAATAAATAATATAAAATTATAATTATAGAAGTATAAAATAGAATATCAACATTATAGTATTTAATATTTTCTTTTTCGTTTCATATGCTTTATGTACTCTACATCCATTTGACTGTTTTTATTTATTTGGTTTGTAATAGTCATAAAACTGATCTTAAATTAATTCTGTACATATTCTGCTCATGTATGATCAAATAAATTAAACAATACCACTCATCTCTGTACGAAGCATATGTAAAATTCTTAATCTAAATTTAAACATATTTACAATGGACTAAATCACATTTGATACACAACACTGCACCATTATATCTTAAATAACATTTTTTTAAGTAATATTCAATTCATCACTTTCTAATATTTCGAATTCACTATCCGAATCTGATTCTTGTCGGATTACAGTTTCTTTGGGTAAATTACTTGTACTAGATTGTGAAGTACTTGTAATCATATTAGAAACTATGTTCCATGGCATGTTTGTGACGTTTGTCACAATATCAGAAATAATATTACTCTGAGGTTCACTTATAATTTTTATTTGTTTATTTATTGTGTCATCTTCAAATGTAACATTTTTCTTAAAATTCAATCCCTTTTCAAAATAATCATCTTCCATCATACTATCACCGTTGAAATGACCACTAAGAAACTCTATGCCTTCAGTAGGAATTAATTTTGTATCATCACCGCTTTCACTGGAAGTATCTGAGATGTTTGGAGTTTTATCTAATAAGAATGCTTCAGTTTTATCAGATTCTGCATCAGAATCATTTTTCGATTTTGGATCTTGTGCATAATTGAGTAATTCTAAATTTTTCTCATTTAATTCTGGTATAAAATCTTCAAATTCTTTAATATTTGATGACCATGTTGATTGATTACAAGCTGAAACAAATAACATATATAACTTATTGCAAGTCATTCGAACATTACCAAAATGTAGAGAAGTCATATTTATCAATAAATAATGTTAATAGAGATGCTTAATGATTTGCAGGTAGTAATTGGCCATGAATTTTATACTTTAATATAAATGTAATTACCTTCTTTCACATTTTCAGGTAAGTATTTTTTTCCTATGAAGCATACAGCTATAAGAATAAAAAATAGTGGGCCTGAAATAATATTTCCTAAAATTGCAAGCAGAATGAAACTAGCACTGCTGAACGCACAGAACTGTAAATAAAAGGATAACAAATTTAATATGAGAATAATGCTTCAAATATTAATTTATTATACAATTTACTTAATCTTTTAAATCATGATTCTGTTGATATTTACTGCTCAATATTTGTTTAAAATATATTTGAGAGATTTAGTAGTTAAGACATATTAAGAATCAATCAAGACAATTTAACTTAAGAATCTTTGGAATAAATTACTAGCAAAAGCTGATTAAAAAAAAAAGGAAAAAATAATTATACTATTAACCTGAATTGATAGGTATTACTATTATTAAGTCAAGTGTAATTAGGCCTTACTAGTTGCCTACCTTTCCAGGGTGATCTTCACGAAATTTCTTGATTTCTTGCAGTGATTTTTCCGAAATAGCGGGACAATTAAAAACTATTGACTCATTTCGAACTCGTTCGGAAAGCACATATAATAAAAGATAATACTTAATAAACCATATGGTCGTATGTCGTACCTGCGAATAGATGTTTCGTCAGAAATATCACAAAATCCAATTGAAATTAATTATTAACGAAATCACATACCAATAAAACAACAACACAATAACAAACAGAGCACTACCACGAATTAAGTTATGTGGTCCGCCGAAGTAATCACTGACGGCTGGGAGCATTTTATTTGATTTAAGTATTAGTAAACGAAACCTTTAATATAAAAGTAGTAATAACTACGATTAACACCTTTGATTTTTTTATAATTTATCGCATATCAATTTATGAATTGACCGGTCACACTGAAATTTTGTCTATAGTTCCGTCTTGAGCAAATATGCGCTATTTTGCGTTTCAATTTCGTATATGTATTACAAAGCGCATCTGTCAAATCGTTGACACCCGCAAGTTGTCGGCTATGCTCGGCGTCAGCTGTTTTCAAATATATATCAATGGTGTTCAAAATGGGAAGACTCTTCATTTGTTACCTAGACAATACATAAATGTTTATATATATATATATATATATATATATATATGTGTGTAAACTTAATTAAATATATAAAATAAGTAAAACGAGTGTGATTATTAATTCGTAATATATTATTAAAAATACTATTTATTTTGTAACTATTGGATTATTAAACAAACTTCATAATATTGTAACTTTTTGCATTTACTATTGGTCTTTTCAAAAAATTCAAAGTTCTTAAATGTGTATTTGCAAAATACGCAATAAAAAGCATAAACAAATAAAAGCAAACTATGCCAATTCACTAATCTACCTGAAAAATGAATGAATGATTCTAATTTCCAAAGAAAATAAATAAATGAAACAAAGAAATAACATTATTTGTTTTAATATATTCATTAAATACATTATTAAATACATTTGCGTAAAAGTATAAAACTGAGTAGCTATCATATATTTACTGGAGTATGTAAACCACAATAGCATATAAATATGTTACATTTTTTATATTTAAGAGGCACATTTAAAATAAGGCATTTATTGTAAACATAATAATTAAAATAAATTATATATATATATATATATATATATATATATATATATATACAAACGTCAATTTTTAAGTCTCAATATATATTGCTATGCCAGTTAATAAATAATATATAAGGCATCTGGCAGTGTCATTGAAAGTAAATATAAAAGAGATTCTACATTTCTATAATATATGAGATTACGATATAAAGAGCACTATTTACTTTAAAATGGCAACGAAGAAATATATTGTACGAAATACAATGTTAGTGCATTAATATAAAACTCTAATTGTAAGTAAATAAGTTTTGCAATCACAAAAAAATTGTAAGCGCTATGTTTCTTTTCTAGTATCTTTGTTTTTTCATTTAGGCTTGTTTGACATGGCCAAAATCGTCGCCTTCATACGTTTCTTGCCAAGTCGCAGACCATGTGTATGTTGTCTGATGTCCGCCGCCGCCACCTCCATTTTGCCCCGCCATGCCTTGACCAGCAAAATCTCGGTTGACCAACGCGCCGCCAGCATTTCCATTTCCTCCAGCAAAACCGGATCCAGCTCCATATCCAGAAGAGCTTCCATCATAACCATAGCCTCCACTATTATATCCACCACTCTCCTTGAATTGTGATCCATAGCCTCCTTTGAAGTTACTACTCTCTTTCATTTCAGAGCTAAATCCGCTGCTTTCTCCACCATATCCGCTTCCGGCATTAGCATCGGAACCGTAACCTCCAGCTCCGTAACCTGCACCTCCTTTAGAACCTGCCTGAAAACTTGATTTGTATTCTGCAGTCTCTCGAACTTCTGACCCTCCGCCATAACCAGCACCGCCTCCACCTCCTCCATAGCCTCCACTGCTGTATCCGCCTCCCCCTGCACCATAACCGTCTACTGCACTCGCCCCATAGCCCGCTCCACTGCCGCCATGTGCTGATGCACTTCTAGATGCGCCACTCATATATGATGCGTTTCCATTCTGCGCCATACTTTGTCCACCACCATAAGAGGACTGTTGGTTTTGCTCATAGGATCTTCGTTCTCTCATTGCAGCAGCTCCAGCGGCTGCAGCGGCTCCAGCAGCCGCAATTCCGCCAGCGGCGTTGGCTCCACCACCGGCGCCCCATGCTCCACCACCTGCTCCGCTACCAGCTCCTCCCGCTCCAGCGCCTGCTCCGCCAGCACTTCTCGCAGAACGGGCGAGAGTATCTCCAGCCGCCTGTTGGGAACTGAACGATTGAGCATTACTTCCGCCATATCCTGAAGAACCATATGCGGATCCTACTGGAGGCACATATGCGGTGTTAGTACTATATGATGAGGGTTGAATAAAAGACTGTTGCTGATCACCGGAAAACCCCTTTCCAGCATAAGTTGGATTTTTAAATGTTGAAGTAGCTTGTTTGTAAATTGGGTTCTCTCCCTGTAAATGACAAGATAAGTTTGTAATATTCGTAAACATTCGGATTCTACACTAAAAATTTGTAGTAGTATTTTAATAGAGAATCAATTATAAATATACATACTGTTTCCCATTTAGCCATCATCCTTTCTTTTTCGAATCTTGCAAATTCTCGTCTATCGTGAATTGTGGTTAGAAGCTTCCAAAGAAGCAGTAGAGCTAGACCAATAAGCACTATAGCTGCAATCACTCCAAGAACAATACCTAACATAAACACCTACAAAAAACGATACATTGACTTTATTAAAATATACAATTAATATCATAAAATATACAATTAGAATTAAAATATAAATATATGATGATGTCATAAAATATAACAAAAATTAGGATAACAATATGTTGTCATTGCTTTGAAAATAAAATGGCATAATATGTGAAATTCACTGTATATTTTTAATCTACAAAAATCATTAGGAAAAATTCTGAATTAAGAAAATATTTGTACATATAAAGAATTGGCAGAATATCAAACTTTGTATTTTAAATATAACCTGTTTACGGCAGAAATGGAACATATGCGAATTCAATCTTAAACCACCCATCAAAAAATGCATATGAATATAAATACTTTGAATAATAAATGTGTCTCGCAATTAAAAAGACTATATGTGCCCATAATTATGAAAGTGGTCTAAGTCAAAATTTAAAAAAAATGAGTTTATCAGTTATTTCATACCACATTAGTTTAAACTAAATGTATTCAATGTAATTTTTACGAAATTGTCAAAAATGAACCATTAGATATTGGTTGTAATTTCAACATTATATGGAATTCATTTAGTATTAATTATGAAAGTGGTCTAAGTCAAAAAGTTTTGGTATCAGGTCATTCCTTTTTACCGAATGATCGTGATTTTGGGTTGATAGAAATGAAAATAAAAAAAGCAAATTACTTATACAACCCTGAGCATTATTATGAATTGATAGAAAAGTGCAGAAGAAGCAATACATTTTCGATAAAGCGAATGTCGCAGCCGGATTTTATTTCAACGAAATCATTAGAAGATACAATAACAAGAATAGTAAAAAATACCGCGGGCGAATCTGTCTTTTGGCTACAAATTCAATGGATGAGATTCTTGAAAAATGAACCTTATAAATTTTTTTATGTTTTATAAAACTTCTTTAGATGATTCTACATTTCACGTTTTGGATCTTTCACCTAAAAGAGAAAGACCAAAAATATACGGAAATATTAAATTACTTCCATTATACACCAGCATTAGACCAGTATCGGAAGAAAAACAAAGATATTATGAGTTTACTACCGTACATCCCTCCAGGTTTTCAGGAACATTTTAAGAATCTTAAATACTCGAAATAATGATAAAAATGGATTACCGTTTAAAAATAATTAATAAATGCTCACGAATTATTTCAATAAAATTATTGTTTCAAATAAAACTCAAAGTTTTTTATTGCTTTAAGTCATTTATAGGACATTCAGTTAATTTTGAAAATGTCTAAGTCAATTCGACCTTTAAAAACAATATTATCGTATGAAATTCACACAAAATTTCATATTCATAATAAATTTCCATTAATTAAGACTAATAAAATTGAAAATTAAAATGTCGCACAATGTAAAAATATTTTTTAATTTATTCAAATGCAAATCATTAAATATCTCGAAACAAGAAATATATGACTTAGACCACTTTCATAATTATGGGCACATATGATAGCGTGCTAAACTTAAAAAGATGATTACTTTGGAAAAACAATGAATAATAGTAGCTTTAGTAACATGGTGAAAAAAGGTTTCATTCCCACACTTTTAACGCAGAGGAGTTCCAAAATGCCGAAAATCAATTCCCATAAGAGTACAAAAATATATTTTTGGATTCCCAGAGCTACGCATACTTATGTATATCTGAATATAATTATTTGTACATATGTATATCTGGAATGTCAACACCACTTAGAGTGGTTAAGCAGATCATATACGCTTTTATTTTCCAGGCATTCCAAATTAAATAAATAAATTTATTGGCTGTAACGCTATCTCTTCATCGTAGAAAGGTGTTTTTCTAATACTTAAGTCCACTGCGTACATACATAAATACATAAAAAGCAATTAATATATCTAGTTCAGTGGCCACGCGAACCCAACTCGTCGTCGAGTGTCGAGTAAACAGCGCACATGTGACTCGGAGGCGTATCATATCATATCATTGAACGAATCATTGCTTGAACGAATGTGGACATTCGCAAATTCTACGTCATATCACGCGACTTAAAACAATTCATTGATTGCGAATATGCATATCAACATCGGGCACCCATCACCCAAACACAAAGACAGCAGACCGACTGTCCCAATTCGAAACGACTGTTACACTTTTGTTATAAATACAATCGACTATATTATTCATTACATTTTTAATTAAACAGAGGCAATGAAGAATAGCAGCTGGAATCGATGGAAGCTAGAAATATCTCACATGCAAAAAAAATTTAAATTCCTAATACTTTTGCTGTTTGAGTTTCATGTGCCCTGAAAGTACTACTTAGGGGGCGTCCATTAATCACGTGAGCGAGTTTTTAAGGATTTTTGGACCGCCCTCCCCCTTGGTAATACATCGTGGTATTCAAAATTACCCCCCCCCCCCTATCAAACATCACGTGTATTTTTAGGTACGTGAAAAAACTGCAAAATTTTTGAATTGTTTTCAAAAAATATTTGAACTTTTTTAAATAAATTAGTTTAAAAATA